CACCTACTTATTGGTCCTCATTAGAAAACTGCTAGTCCCAAGCTTTGACTGGGTGTTTAAACTGCAGGAGAGAGATCCTTGGCTGCCTCTGAAGATGACTGATGATGTAAGATGCACATAACAGGATTACTTGCTCCTGGAGGCCCAGATGAGATTCAGTCCAGTGGGTGGTGGCAGGAGTAGAGTTGTGAATAAGGCTTACTAGTGAGTCATCATTCCTGGTCTTCAGGCAGCCTCTTCCACCACCATAGGCACGGTTTCCTGGTCGTATTCAACTTCCTCTAGTTCATCCTCTGATGCTTCACTGCAAGTGTTTGTGGCTTACTGGGCATCATGAGCTGATGGTAGCAGCAAGTAGTTGAGCTTTTCTGATGCCCACGGAAGAATCTGGCTTCTATCATTGTATTTCCTTAGAAGCGTCTAACATTTTGGCTGACTTACTGCATATTTTTCCAAGCATATTTTCTTGAGTTCCTTGGAATAAATTATTTTCTTCCTCAACTTGTATGTTGAAAATTTCTAAAACTGTTGAAAAGTTGCAAGAATAACAATAAATACCTATATATCTGTCAATTGACCAGTTGTTAACATTTTGACACATTTGTTTTATGTATGTATGTATGTATGTATATATGTATATGTGTGTGTGTGTGTGTGTAATTTTTTTGCTATTTTGGCCGAACCACTTGAGGGTTAGTTGCTGATAATATGAAGCTTTATGGCTAGACACTTTAATATGCATTTCCTAAGAGCAAGAACATTCTCCTATATTACAACTAGGAAATTTAATATTGGTATAATATAATTATCTAATGTACAGTCTATATTCAAATTTCCCCAGTGGTCCTAATAATGTGCTTTATAACAAAGCTGGTCTTTTTTAATTGATCCAAGATCCACCAAGGATCTTACATTGAGGATCCTTGTAAGGGAAGAAATCTTGAAGTCTGAATCCTACTTTTTTTCTCTGAGTATTCAGCTGACTACAAAACAATATAATATGGCCAAAACTGGATGTATCCAAAACTTAGCCTGCCTAAGCTGCCAATTAATAGGCATTATTCTTTTTAAATAGCCATTTTACTGTTGAAAGCATTATCACACTTTGACTGCCAGCCATAGAGGATTGGAAGAATGAGATAATTTATTTGGCAAAATTCATATGTACACGTTATGCCAAGCACTTGGCTAATATCTGGATGAGATGGGCAATTTACAGACTATGTAATCAACTAGGGTTCTATCTGTAGTTGTGTTATGAGAAACAATGGTTCATTAATTCAAGGAAATGTTATGCCTTGATTAAAGATGTCATTAAGTGAAAGACTCTGTTAGCTTGAATTCCTACTGAGAAATGCAAGACACATAACATTTATGCATATTTGTGATGTTCTAATCCATTTTTAGGGAATAGGATATTATATAAAGCACCCTAGTTTAAACAAATACATGACTACCGTTGTCAATAGAGATAGATATAAATAGTGACCTGTGTAATTATTTTGCTAATGCTGAATTTTTTTTTCAGACAAGTGGATCCAAAATCTACCAATGATCTTGCATTATATTAAAGGGAAAATACCTCCTTAATGGGGAGTCTTTACTTTTTTTTTTTTCAAATTGTGCCTATACCTGTGATCTTATGGATAGATAATGGTTGTTATTCCTTGTTGTATTCTTATGTGCAAAAATAGAGAACTTGATACATTGGTTAGTTTACATTGCTCTCTTTCTATGCATCAAGCCTCAACTATCAAGATATTTTAAGTGGTAAAGAAGTTTGGGGTCTATGTTATAGAGTGAATAAAATATTTACTGCACATCCATTCTTATAAATTAAAAATACACACCCACAACAACAACAAGACATTTACAGGAACAGAGACCAACAAAAAGGTTCTCATTAAACTCGTTAGCCTGGATGCCTGTGAGAGATGGAATTTCAAGTTCTTCCTTGCTCTCTTAGGACAGTTTTAGAGGCGCACAAAGGCCCCTGAGGTCTGAGGATACCTAGTAGTTTACATACAAAGGATTAAAAAAAAAAAGCTCTGACTGACTGATTCCCAGGGATTTATGACTCACAAATTTATTTCACAAGCGCAAAATCTTTCCAAATTTCACTCTCTATAGGGAGACTGTTATGAACATTTTCTGATTGGACAAAAAATATATACTGGATACAAATTATTTTGCTATAGAAACAAAATGAGACACAAAAGAAAAGGAACAAGCACCATTCCATTGTCCTAGCACAGCATGGTTTTACGAGAATTCTATTTTATTTCACGTATTTTTTTTTAGACAGGGTCTCTGTCACCCTGGCTGAAATGCAGTGGCACAATCATGGCTCACTGTAGCCTTGACCTCCCAGGCTCAAGCAATGCTCCCGCCTCAGCCTCCAAGTAACTGGGACTACAGGCACATGCCATCATGCCTGCATAATTTTTGTATTTTTTGTAGAGATAGGTTTTCTACATGTTGCCCAGGCTGGTCTTGAACTCCTGGGCTCAAGCGATCCTCCTGCCTCAGCCTCCCGAAGTGCTGGGATTACAGGCATAAGTCACCATGCCCAGCCCAAGAATTTTTTGAAATGTTTTGCTAAGAATAAGCAAGACTTTTTACTTTACTAATGCCATGATTTAACCAATTTTAGCTGCTCCGACATTAAAAGATGTTTTTCTTAATATACTTCTAAAATATTGGAAATGATCAGAGCAGGGTGGAGGGAAAGAATTGATCCCAAAAGCTCTCATTTAAAATGCTGTAACATCTTGGAAAGTCCATCTTGCTTTTACCTTCTTTCTTCCCATTGATTCATTATGATCTTGCTTATGATCTTCAAGTCATTATTTCTCTGGCTGTTGGCTTTTTCTGTCAATCAAGTGTACAGCCAACGACCCTTTCTCCCGCTCTCTAAAAGTGGCTTTCATCATTCTGCTACTTCTTAACCAGTTCGTGTTTTCTTCAGCCTTCAGGTTACTCCTTTTCTTGTTTTGATTTAGGCCAATTACATTAGCCAAGATGGGTCCAGTCTCCCTGAAGTGCGGGAAGTCTACTCCTTGGTCTTTTGTAAACACCATAAAATAATCATGAAAATGCTATGCCTGGACCTGGTTTTGTACTTGACCGTTTTGTCTAGAAAATTACCCATTTAGCTATATATTTTATTCTAAGACAGTATATTTTTAAATAATTATTCTTGCTAAGGGAGTGATTTGGATACAAAATCCTCCCATGGATATAAACATACTAAAAAATGTATTAAGAATAATAGTTAACATCCGGGCATGGTGGCTCATGCCTGTAATCCCAGCAGTTTGGGAGGCTGAGATGGGCAGATCATCTGAGGTCAGGAGTTCGAGACCAACCTGGCCAACATGGTGAAACCCTGTCTCTACTAAAAATACAAAAATTAGCCAGGCGGCCGGGCGCGGTGGCTCAAGCCTGTAATCCCAGCACTTTGGGAGGCCGAGACGGGCGGATCACGAGGTCAGGAGATCGAGACCATCCTGGCTAACACGGTGAAACCCCATCTCTACTAAAAAATACAAAAAACTAGCCGGGCGAGGTGGCGGGCGCCTGTAGTCCCAGCTACTCGGGAGGCTGAGGCAGGAGAATGGTCTAAACCCGGGAGGCGGAGCTTGCAGTGAGCTGAGATCCGGCCACTGCACCCCAGCCTGGGCGACAGAGCAAGACTCTGTCTCAAAAAAAAAAAAAATTAGCCAGGCATGGTGGCAGATGCCTGTAATCCCAGCTACTAGGGAGGCTGAGGCAGGAGCATTGCTTAAACCTGGGAGGTAGAGGTTGCAGTGAGCCGAGATAGTGCCATTGTACTCCAGCCTGGGAGACAGTGTGAGACTGTCTCAAAAAAAAAAAAAAAAAAAGAATAATAGTTTGATTTCCCCCAGAAAAACAAAGCTAAATAAATGCAAGGGACTTATACCTATAATTACTTTTGAGACTGTATGAGGTAGATGATCAAAACAGTTAAGTTCATATCGTTTTTTGAAAGATTCTCCTGGGTTTTTTTGTTTTTTGTTTTTAGCTTCCCTCAATCAGCTGTGTTTTACATATCAAGAAAGATATATTGTGAATATTCTGAGAATTATACCTTATGTACATAACTAATTTTTAAAGAATTAGTGCAAAATAAGTTCTGTAAAGTAAAAATATTCTGAGTATAATTATATTTATTTTTATTTTTGCTAAGGAAATAGTTTACAAAGCCTAAAAGTAATCCAGGTAGACAAAAACCATCACTAAGGGAGAGATGGAGGAGACTGGACTGAACCCAAAGCAACCTAATGACCTGCCCTGGAATTGATTCTTAAAATAAATCACTGATACCAAGCTATTCGTTTGTCATTGCTATAATTTTTATCCACCAGAGTACTATGAAAAAATTCTGAGTGTATTTTCTGATCATTCATTTAAGCTGTAGATTTAAAAGGCTGTTCATTTTTATCTTTTGTCTCACATCATCCAGTCCAGATCCATGAATTCCAATGGACGATTCAGAATCTCCATCTCCCCACCTTTCTTTGCATAACATGCCCCTCTAATTCAATGTTCTCAATGTATGATAGCAGATAGATGCAGTGTATTTCCTTAACTTGACTTTGGTTTTTATCGTGCCAATTGAAGGACTCATAATGAAAGTTCACACAAAACTCTACTCTCCCAAAGCATTGTACTGATTAAGTAAAGGCGGTTCTCAAATAGGCAACTCTATGGATGGCTGAGTCAGCTTTGAGTAAGGGTAGCACAAGGCCCGGGAGTAAATGTTTGCCTTTGAATGCAAGTGAAGATTTACATTTAGAGAAGGGTGGGGGGAAGTGTGTATTGTCAGCAGTAATCTTCTCTCAGCTAGTATGACCTAAAAGGCCACTAAGCAGAGAGGAAGCATTAAGAGAGAAGATAATCATGCAAAGGGTAAAGGAATGGCTGCAAGGTCTTATATAAAACATACATTTTCTAAATAGAATGAAAAACAGCTTTGCTCAGATGTGATAAGTTCCTTTCTGGATTCTGGAAATATTCGTTTTTAGGTGTTCTACAGAGGGAAAGATCTAACACATCATCTAAAACCATTAATTCCATTCGACTATCAAATCTTCCTTTTGTGTACTGGAAAAACCATTTCATTATGTTGTGTTAATACTTTATGGCCACTTTCCTCATGGTTGAGAGGATCACCTTATGGAGTATGACAGCAGAACCTGATAATGATGGAACATTGATGTGGCATCTAACAGCCAGGCCACTCTTTAAATATAAAGTCTGCAAGGGAACAAAGCAGCTTGTCCCAGATTTCCACAACAACAACAAAACCTTTCAAATAGTCGTTATTCACGTAGAAATGTATTTGAATAAAGGCCATGAAATTTAAAATTGCTGTGCCATATTTGAGGCTGGCTGGCAGCCTGAGTTTTACAAACCATTGTGTCATGGAAGTCAAGGACGTGGTGCAGGCTGTGCCCACACGCTGACTGCCACGGCTCCTGCAATGCTTATGTAAGAGCACTCACTCAGAGATGAGAGCTGGTCAACTCTTCTTCGTTTATGGAGAATGTTACGTGCTAGAGAGTACGTTTTTCTTCTTCCCAAACATTATCGTCCTCATAATCCTTCCGTGGGAAGGAAAGCTTCCATTCTTTAGAACAGGTCCCAGGGCTGTGGTGCTAAATGACTCAGAACCAGAGACCCCAGGTCTGCGCCGTCTATGTTGTCTCTCCGTTTCCCCACCCCACTGGGCATACGGTGAGAGACTGCACATCCCTCCTTCCTCACTTCACTAGGAGGCTGCTTTTTTGTAGATTTCTTCCCAGCCCAGGCTTTTATTCCAAGAGACAAAGGGAAAGTTGGCTGACCATGAGCTAAAACATTTCCACAGGTCTTCATTTATAATGTTGTGATCCAGCTGTCTCATTTTCCTTTCTCAAAAATCACCTTCCGAGGACAGTGATTCTGAGGAGGAAAAAAAGCAGCAAAATCCCCACGTGGCTTTAGGGGTCACCTGAAATGAGAGTCTGCTGGCGCTGCCCCGAGACAGGTCAAGGCTATGCATTTAAGATGAAGTCTGTTTCTTCTTTTCCTCAAACCTTATCTGTTTGGGAGCAACAGCCCAAGAAGCGTCATCTTGAAACACACTCATTTGATTTCATTTCCGCAGTGCCACCTCCAGCCTCATTCCACACTGCCACAATGCCTAAACACATACAGCCTGGGTCACCCTGAGCGTTAGACAGCTACTGTTAAATAAAACCAGAGAGAAAGAAGATACTCCAGTTTTTAAAACTTCAATAAGGAAATGAGAATTAACTTTCTAACAGTGCACATACTCTGTTGTTTCAGAGTAGATGTAATAGTGAAATGAAATTTGTGTAGCTGTGATTTTAAATTAAGGAGTACCCTGGAAATGGTACTAAGCTATAATATTTAGGGGGAATACTTAAGGAAGAAGATATTTAGTTGTGAAATGTCAACTAAGGACACAAGGTTTCATTTCCTTGTTTTCTCCTATTCTTCCAAGGCCACTTAAAAGATCAGATGCTTTGACCAAACCTTCTGAGCCTCATTTCCTATAAACTCTCCTGTCAACGTTGAGGCTCGTGGTGGGGTTTTGGTCTGAAAGAAGGCAATCTTCAGGAAGTAAAAACCTACTTTTAAAATATTTACCCTGTAAAATGATATTAACAAGAGGTCTGGTAGCCGGCTGCGAGATTTACCCACTGAATTGCTGATATCAGAGTGACATTGGCTATGCCTCCAGCCCCACTCCTAGAAAATGATACAGACTGGGGTAGCAGAGAAGGTAGCTTTAGAAAAATCAGCCAACTTCAGCTGAATCTTTGACCTGCACCTGTCAAAACTGTAGGACTAAGAGAGACCTTAAAAGTTCCTCTAGACTTTCTAGAAGGAACTACCTATCTACTGGTACTTTACTTGGGATGGCCTTTTATGATATTCTAAGCAAGATTATGGAAAACGTTATCACATCTTAACTCAAGACCTCCTGGAGAAGTAGGAAAGGTAGGCATCACTGTTGTGCAAATGAGAAAAATGAAAGATCAGGACTAAACTGTGGGCTTGCCCAAGTAAGTGGCAGATAGGAACTCATTATCCAAAGCATAATTTGTCTCTTCCTACCACAGTTGAGAAAACCAAGGACACAGTTCAGGCTTGGATTCTAGTCAGTTTTCTGTCACTGTCTAGCTATGTACCCCGAGTAAATCGCCATGTCTTTGCATGTCAGTTTTCTCATCTGCAAAATGGGAATAATTCCTGCTTTACCTGCCCTGCAAAGCAGTCATGAGGAACACACAAGATGACAGTCTTTGCCTTATCTGCCCATGCTGAAAAGAAATTATGTTTACATTTGATCCTTCCTACCAAAAGCCCTTGCTTGTCTTCTAATTACACATGTGACTTTTGTCAAATCAATTAGCTTCTTTATTTCTCTGTTTCCTCTGCTACACTTAGGAGGTTGTACTTGAACATTTTAAATAGTTTTTCCCTTCCAATCCGTGAGGCTTCTGTCCTAGTTTTCTTTTCTATGCTACCTCTGCGACTCTTTGCTATATTCCCCAAAGATGAACGGCTGGAACATTTATGTGCTGTAAAAAGCTAGGTATTGCCAAAACAGTGTAACACATTTGCAGTCCCACTGCGATTCTTCTTCTAATTCTTCTTTTTTTTTTTTTTTCTTTTCTTGAGGATGGTCAGAAACCTGTAGCAGCCTAATGGAATTAAAATCACCAGGCAATGCAAAATGAGGAGTAGGAGTCGAATTATTTTAGGAACTACTAAGACACCATCCCTAGCCTACTCAAGAACTCACTAGGACTCATTAGACTGCGCGTCACCCAACAGGGACAGCCCTCTCTGAAGTGTCCCCACCTTAACAAGGATCATTAGTGCTGTTCAGCTCCAGCCACAGTGGCAAATGTCAACCCCTCCAAGAATCAGCTGCTTAATGAGATTTGGAGAACAGAAGGAAAAGGCAAGTTCTCCAGATAAAATGCAGGGCAGAGTTTAGGAAGAGAAAGCTAGAGGCAGAGTGAATGTTTTCCTGTTCGTTTTGCACCACAATGGAAGCAAGATTTAGAAATGCACAACAAAATTATCTAGAGCCATGCAGAGCTAGGAAGAGCATCTTTTCTGGACTAGAAGAAAGATTTATCTATCAGGAGGGATCCTCTTGTCTCACAGCCTGAACACAGTGAAGAGATTTTCTTTGCACCTGGCTAAGAAGAAATGGTCCCCCCTCCACACCCCTTAAAACACAATACCCTACACCCACCCATCCACCAAGTCCCATTATCTCCCACCACACACTAAACTCATTTTTTCCTCCATTGCTTTACGGTTCAGCATACTTCCATGTCTATCATGCTGGTCCACGCATAACACCATGAGAAGATGAAGCAGGTGTTGGACCATTTTACAGATAAGAAAAGTGATGCTCAGAACACGTAGGTAATTTGCCCAGTTTCCCAAAGATAATGGAGAACTCAGGCCTCAAACCTAAGTCTCTTGACAGCCAACCTGATACTCTCTGTACCATTCAGAGAGAATCTAACCTTTGTTCTTCTTCTAAATGAATCTAAAGTGTTTAAATTAAATGCCTAAAGTATGTGAAACAAAGTACCTAGGTACGTTTAAGGAAAAGAGTTACATAGAAATGGCACCTGAGGCCAGGCGCGGTGGCTCATGCTTGTAATCCCAGCACTTTGGGAGGCCAAGGTGGGCGGATCACGAGGTCAGGAGTTTGAGACCAGCCTGGCCAATGTGTTGAAACCCCGTCTCTACTAAAATAGAAAAATTAGGTGGGCATGGCGGCAGGCGCCTGTACTCCCAGCTACTCGGGAGGCTGAGGCAGAATTGCTTGAACCCAGGAGGCGGGGTTGCAGTGAGCCAATTTTGTGTCACTGCACTCCAGCCTGGGTGACAGAGCAAGACTCCGTCTCAAAAAAAAAAAAAAAAAAAAAAAAAGAAAGAAAGAAATGGCACCTGATTTCAAGGAGATAGAATTCTCATAAACAAATCAGTATCTTATAAACATTCGATCAAAAGCAAGCTCACATGTGCAGTGATTTTCCAAAGTGTGCTAGAGGGATTTACTGGTCAGGAATTATGCTAATGAGCTGGCGAATGTATGGAATTAATTTTCTGGGGGAGGGAGGTTTGGAACTAACTTTCTGTGTTCTCATCTCAGAGTATATACTTGGAGCATCTATTGAAATCACAGCAGATGGAGTACATCATAAATGTATTTTCCCTTTTATTTTATCTTCAGCTCCTTAGAGAAACACAGCACCTAGGGTACTGTAGACAGAAAATAAAAGTTCATTTTTATATCGTCATTTGTAATATAAAGACATAAACATGACTGATTCCTAGGGGAGCTATTTCATCTTGTTTCCTCCCTGGTGAGTTTTCTAATTAATCCTTACTGAAATAAAAACTAAAAATGAAATGTAAATGTGATTTTTCTGAAGAATGCACTGAGTTGCTTTTTTTTTTTTCCCCAGTCTCAGTGCACACCTGATCCCCTGCTGCCTTTGAGAAATAAGAAGTTTTGTTGTGCTGATTTCACAGCCTGTGAACTCTGCAAACACGATCGTGAAAAAATGCCAATCTGTCCTGTGTAAGCCCTGTGTGAAGTGTTGACTGTAATCTACCAGATCACTGCTTCACCCTCCATAAAGATGTCTGAACCTGATGCTTCCTCGGGATTTTCGGGAAGTGTGGAGAATGGAACTTTTCTTGAGCTGTTTCCCACATCCCTGTCCACGTCAGTGGACCCAGCCTCAGGCCACCTGTCAAACGTCTACATCTATGTGTCCATATTCCTCAGCCTTTTAGCGTTTCTGCTTCTGCTTTTAATCATTGCCCTCCAGAGGCTCAAAAATATCATCTCCTCCAGTTCCTCCTACCCAGAGTATCCAAGCGACGCTGGAAGTTCTTTCACCAATTTGGAAGTCTGCAGCATTTCCTCACAGAGGTCCACTTTTTCAAACCTTTCATCCTGAGGAAAATGGAAGAGTCCTGGAGTGTGGCAGTAATTTTGACGTCCCCTTACGGAAGTGTCGCGTGAAGCGTTGTCTCATGAAAGAAATGACCCTTTTGGCGTAGACCTGCTTCTCCTTCTCCTTTTTCCCTGATTTCTTTTCTGTTCATGATGCTTTTCATTTGGGGATGGAGACGCCAATGTTGGTGGAAATGTGTGCAAACCCCAAGGTGCGGAGTTTCACACAAATGGCTTGATGAACCTAGACTGGGCTTCTTCGGGTAGGTCAGTTCATTCCACTTTGTTGGGCGTCGTAGACTCATCTGAGGTGGCCTCTCTGTGGATGATGGACATGGACTCTTGCACTTCATTTCTTTTACAAAACCGTGAAATCAACTGAGCCTGCAGAAACTGGCAAAATCAAGTCTGACCTACGTAGAAGTTATTTTCCATATTTAAAAGATAAAGTGGAGACACCAAATTTAAAAAGGAAGAGAGTCAATTTAGATTTAATGTGTAACATTTCTAAAACTAAGGGTAAATATATGCTAAATATTTTCTTTAACTTCACTTTAACAAGTGAAAATCACACTTATTGATGAATGTAAGTCATTTGGAAAAGTTTTGGAAGAGTTTACATTTTAATAGCAAGACAAACATGTATTATGATGGAGCTTTTATTTTGTTTTTCTGCTAATGTTTTAGTCATACTGCCCCAAAGTTGTGGAATTTTTGTGATTAATTGCTGTTACTAGTACTAAGAGAACCACCAGAAGAGATGCCAAGAAGTTTTTATATGAATAATTTCTACCAGTGAGAATTAAGCATATGGAAAAGATTCATTTAGTTGTATTTTATACAGTAATAACTCTTAGCTGTCGTGTAAGTTCCTTTATTCAATTTCATAGTCTTTATAATTTTAGTGCAGAATTATATTAAGCCTCCAAGATGTCTGATATTGTTCACTCACATTAGGTTGCAAAACTTAGAAACAAAATTGAAAATATGTGTTATTATATACTCCACGAATGTTGCGTCTCTGATAATTAGTTGTTGTATGTTAACATAATACTCTACATCAGGATTTCAGGATGTGAGTTTGTATTAAAAACTTAGGCACTCAAGTTGTGTAGCTGCTGGGAGCTTTAGGGATCCTAGGAGCTGCCGTGCTGCAGGCAGCAGAGTATGTCTGAACTCGGCGGGCGGGTGGCAGGGGCTGTCTGTGAAATGAGGCACACATGTGCGCTCCGACATGGAATGTGGAGGAACTCAAGCTGCCCCTGAAAACAAAACAATCAAACTGCAGCTCCTTAAGAGTAAGAATTTTAATTTAATTTTGAAAATAAATGGCCCACAGGATAAACACTGAACTTACTCAACCTACAGGAGGCCACTGCATCAACACGCCACGGTCTTCCCATGGCAACCGAATCATTCCTTGTTCAAAACATTTAATCATCTTAAGCAGTGGGGCTTCAACACACGCTTTGGTTGAATTGTGCAGTCAGCACTCTCCAGGGACTAGAATGGGGGAAAGAATCCACTATTTGCACAGGGTTTATCTTTATCATTCTAAAATGCTGAGCGAGTGGAGATCTGGGAACGAAAATCGGAAGGCTGCTGCTTCTTTCAATGCATAAGCCTCACTGAAATCAGACCACATTTAACTATTTATATATCAAAAACGTCCCCAAACACCATAAGACCAGTACAGAGTTGCTGCCCTAAAATGTATAATTAGTGAAAAATGTACCTCTGCTTCCATTTAAATCATGGCAGTGGGTTGGGTGTCATTATGTAGTATAAAAACTGGACTAGATAAACTGCTATTTTAGAGCATTATTAGCATTCTCTGAATATATATGTGTATATATATATTTATATATATGCTCATATACTCCCAATTAAAAGTCATATGAAAGCCACACAGGATTAACAGAGGCATCTATATTATCACTTTTGCTCTTTGACTAATCTTATGCTGTTTTGGTTATAGAGAGAAAAAAGGACATGGGTGAAGTGATTTTTTTTTTTTAAATAAAAGGACAAATTTGCCACACAACAGAACAATCTGAGTATGATCTGTCCTTGGGGTATCTTTATATCCTTTCCTTGTGAAATAGATATAAAGACTTCTGACAGCAAAACTACTTTAAAAATCAAATCAAATCAAATCTACAAGCACATTCCCATGCCTCCCCTGCTGCAATGGTTCTTGCTCTCAATGTTTAGTAGAGAAATTAAGAGCCACATTCAAAGATGGAAAACAAGATTTGTCATTAGAAGCTTGCCAAGGTAACAGATTGTACAACTTGAGATGAATTCATGTTGTTTAAGAAGTTCAGAAAGGTTGGAAGATGGGTTTATAAATAAAGAAGTGGAGTCCATTGAAAGCCTGTTTCTTTTATTTTTTTCCAGTGAGGTGATTTATAATCTCTTCTGGAGAAGAAGCTTTTCCTAGGAATTTTAAGCATACACCACACACACACAGAGATGTATAGAGAGACATATATCTACATATATCACTCCTTTTCTGTACGTTCTCTCTGAAGCAGGGTCAGTAATGTGTGACCCAAACATCAGCCTCTCCCCAGCCCCGCAAGGGTCACCTCCTTCTGGGACAGTGAGTCCCACATTTCCCAGATGAAAAGAACGATCTGGGTGCTCTGACAATAGAGAGGATCCCACACCACACCCCAGAACTTCAGGAGTGGAGCCCAGGGTATTTCTGAATATTTTTAACAAGGACTTCAGGTGATGCTGACGATCAGTGGGGAAACTGGCAGAGGAAGGATCACATATATTGTGCTTATGTATTTGCAGAGGACAGGGGTCTAACCTCTCAGCCACTGCCCTTATAACTGCAGTTGCTACAAGCTGAGCATCCCCCGCACAGCTCAAAACCCTCACTGGGACCTACTTTGCTGCTCGAGTCTGAATCCAGCCACTCTCCTCCTCAATGGAAAGCTGCTGCTGTTGTAATAAACTTGGGGGAAGAGGGAAGTGCAAAAAGTCACATCTCTTTCTTGTCCCATCTCTTAATTCCCCACAAGATGATATGCATATAATAAACAAGGTTAGAGGACTGGGGGTAGCTGACAGGATTTGTAAGATGAGAGAAAATCTTTTACATTGAGTACTAAGTAAGACTATTCCCACAGTCCAAAGGAAAACAAGAACATAACTAGGAAAACGTTATCTAGGAGAAGCACCAGTTTCTAAACTTGCTCCCCTGTCTTAAAGTATGCCTCCCATCCCTCTAAGAGACGCTGCCACTTCAATCTAATGCCAGGTCCCACTCTCCCACTCTCTGTTAGAAAGTCCCCTGGTATACGTTCCTATCAGTCCAACACTCTGGACCTAAGACTTCAGAGAACCTGAGTTATTCAAGAGAGAATACTCCCAGGCTGTGTGTGGATGGGTGTGGTATGGATGGAGTCCGGGAGGGAGGTCTGTAGCAGAGGAGTTCGTGGTAGACTCTGGATCTCCCAGAACCAGCTCTCTGCAGTATCTCTCTATCAGTGAGAGGACAACTGTGCTTTCTTGGTTCCTGGTTATTCAGCCAGTCCAAGCATGCATCTGTGTGCACGAACACACATACACATACACACAGAAACTCACAGACACATGCTCTTCACCCACACATACACCATCCAGGAACAAACAATAATCCTGTGTTCAAAGACAGTACTTCAGTTTTCAAAGTCCTCTTACTTCGATTTCACTCTGCCTTCAGTGATGAGCCGAGAACAGTAATTCCCTCTCACTCATCCTTCTCCTTCAAAACCATGCCTAAACATCCACCACTTTGTAAGAAACATTTCCTACTAATACTGCTTTTCATAGCAACAGAGCCCACGGGCCCCTGCAGTCACTTCTGACTGTGCAGAGACCTCATCAAACCATTGCAAGCATAGCTTTTCTTTATGTTGGATTGGGTCCACTCTGGGTTAAGGTGTTTGTCACCCTGGACACTGTAATAAGACATTATTATCAATGGGAATTTATTAAATAAATGAATACAAGTGGTGTTTGGTTTTCTGTTCCTGTGTTAGTTTACTGAGGATAATGGCTTCCAGCTCCACCCACGTCCTGGCAAAGGACATGATCTTGTTCCTTTTTATACCTGCATAGTATTCCATGGTGTATATGTACCACATTTTCTTTACCCAGTCTATTATTAATTGGCATTTGGGTTTATTCCTTACCTATGTAACAAACCTGCCCATTCTGCACATGTACCTCAGAACTTAAAATAAGAATTAAAATTAAAATAATAAAATAAAATAAATGAATACATCCTTTGGCACTAGATAAAACAGACACAGTTCCTGCCCTCATGGAGCTTATAATCTAGTAAGGAAGATACAAAAACAAATGAGCAAACAATATGTACAACTGCAATTGCAATTAGCACTATGAAGAGAATAAAATTGTGAAATAAATAACAAGGGAAACTCACCAGACATGGCTAGTCAGAGAGGGCCTTCCTGATAAGATCATAGTATTTGAAGGGTGTTGAGGAGAGTCTTCTCCACAAAGGGATAGCGTCTACAAAGGCCCTGTGGCAGGGAAAGGCTAGGCTTGTGAACAGAAAAGTCAGAGTGCTGGGATGCAGAGCATGAGGCTGGAGAGGTGGGCAGGATAGGCTATGTAGGAACTGGTAGGTTAAAGTAATAACTTGGATTTTATTCAGAGGGTGACAAGAATCCATTGAAGGATTTTAAACAGGTAAGTTATATAATTGAATTTTTGTTTCAGAAAGATGACTGTAGATGCTTTGTAGAAAATAAACCAGAGATGGACAAAAAGTCCTATTCAGATCCACCCTGGGTGGGGTATGGGAGTGGGTGGAGAGTTGTTCTCCCAGCTACAAATATCTGCTCATCTTCTAGCCATGGAAACGGCCTGAGCTGAGAATGAGTGTTGCCACACACCCCCCTCCCTACGCCTCCCGTTTCTACCACGCGCTCACCTCCCTCTCTCCCTCTCCTGGTCTCTCTGTCTCTGTCTGTCTCTCTCTCTCTCTCTCATACACACAGACACACACACACACACACACACACACACACACACACACACATACACACCTTCTCAGATTCTTCTCTCCTCACCTAATGTGTCCCCATTTGGCCCTCATTAAAGTATTTCAATCATGTTTCAGTCCATTTAACTATTACTCCAGTACTTTTAACATGATGTGTGACTAATATTGTAATGAAACTCTAATACTGCAGCAAAGTTGAAGCATTTAAAATTGTTGCTCCTTTTAAAATTCCATTCTCAAAACAGCTATTATTGTTGATGCACTATATAGCTCATTCCTATGATTCCAGGCTCTTGTGGAGAGTTGACATTTTTGGGTGGTTTCTCCTTGGTTGTTTATCTGCCCTGTTTAGCTAACGCTATGGGCCATAAGACACAGAATTTGGATTCAGACCAAGACCTAAATGTTAACTCTACAACCTTAGGCAACCTTCTGAGACTCCAGATATTGGTAACTAGAAGAGAATAATAACCTCCTTACAATGTTGTGAGAATTAAGAAACTATGTGTGTTAACAGTGGAGGGTGTCCAGGTTCTCGGAATCTTAAACAAAAAATTGGACAAAATGCACAAACAAAACAAGGAAGAAATGAAGGGTTTTATTGTAAAGGAAAGTACACTCCACCATGTGGGAGTGGGTCTGAGCATGGGGGCTCAAAGGCCCCATTATTTAGAATTTTGGGGTTTCAATATCCTACAGAGGATTGGGGTGCACAGTATATAAATGAAGAGGATGAAGTAAAGTTGCAAAGTCATTTACTTGGCCTGTGCCCTATGGAGAAGATATTTCCTGTCATAGCTGAAGTGTGAATTGTCCTTAAGTTTCCTGCCTCCAGACCCTATTTTCCTGCCTCATCTCCCTGAGAGATGTGATCCCATAAATCTTTATGGGAGGCAGAGGGACCGATGATCTTTTTCAGTAACTGCTTCATGCTGGCTTGGGGCATAGTCCCTACCTATTGGGGAATCACAGAACTTTCCCTGCTCTATCTAGTGGAGACAGGGTAGCATCTTGATGTCCAAGGGTGGTGTCTTCACCTGGAACTGGCTGGAACCTTTGTTGCATCATCATCTGAAGCTTGACGGTCTCCAGGCGAGAGGAAATGAATTTGGTTAAAAGATTTAATGGGAACTTCAGGGGGTGGATACCTATGTTGTCAGAAATGTTTGCCATAGAGATTTGCAGAAGAAAAAAAACAAAAGCTTGTCTGTTGTAGAATCCATGCATTTCTGTAAAGTCTGAGCACAAACAACTCCATCTGGATTTGGTTTGGTCTGTTGGGGTCCAGGGCATGAGTGCATGAGCTTAGTTGAAAACAATGGCCTCCCAGAATTTTGTTTTAAAAATTCCCCCTTCTTGGTCAGGTTCTCACTTAGGTGTGTGTGTGACCAAAACTTAGGGCTTTAGTGTCACTCTCAGTTACCATCATTTTGGGTTTCCAGTCTCAGCACATCATTCATAGGTTACGGTGTCCTCATGGTTGCACATTTCTTTCAGCTCTTATCATTCCAGTTGAAGAGAGACCATTTGATGTTCTAGAGATGGCTGCATGCAACCTTTGAGGGAATACAGTGCACCAGGAAGACTATTATTATCATTACTGGAAGGAAAATACCCAGAGTTCAGAGTATGCTCCTTAACCAGGGTCCCTAGAAACCAAACCACCTACACTTCCCTGGGTTAAAGAATGAGCCAGATGAAGAGTCTACTCACTTGACTAAGTGGTCTTTTCATTCATCCCCTACAACTGAATTCTCATAATCTGCATTTGACATGTTTCTCCATAGGCCACAAGCATCAGCAGCCACACAGGAACTTCTTCGTTTAGCCAATTCTATTACTTAGCATAACTTTCACAAGAGAATTTAAAATCTGTTGTGTGTAACGATAGCCTTTAAAGTAGAATTTGCTATAGAGCCTATCATGAGGGATACATTTCTAATCATTGCTTCTTTTACTTTAAACCATGGAAAAAAGACCCAACAAATGATACCCTTCTAGAAGAGTGAAAGCCTCCTGGCAATGTTCTCTTTAACCCATGACGTGGGTTAAGAGGGGTGTTTTGTTTTGTTTTCAACTGATTATGAGGCAACGTATGAACCACTACAGTTTCTCAACTGCATTGGGCCTTCATCTTCTATCTATCAAAGTAGAAGGTTATCCATGTATAAGGCTGGCTGCACACTTCTTCACAAAATAAAAGTATACCCCATAAGTGCACATAACAGACCCGAAAAAGGGTGGAAAAACACTTCGGTTGTTGTAGAGACATAAGCAGGAAAAAAATATTCAAAGATAAGAGTTTCATGATAGTAGAAGTCTTACTCTGTGAACTTGGGAAAAGCT